GCTACACACAGCATGGCTGCCCCGCGGCGGTGCGCGGTAGCTGCACGGCGAATCAGCTAACATGGCAGCACGCGAAGCAACACGCCTGACGCTGCTGCACTCGTGACTCCGCGCTCTCCATCACGCCTCCAATGATCTTGATTCGAGTCCCCCTTCGACTTGCTATTCAAATTCCTCTCTTCTGACGCTTCACCAGCGTTCAGCACATCCTTCCCGCGCATCAAGCAGTCACATTTGTCGTGAACATCTGACCACTCCGCCATCACCCGCTCAACTGCTCGCGGCTTGGCAGATGAGCGCGCGTCAGACACCTTGGTGTCGACGTGGTCTTTGAGCTAGCGATCGCTGTAGCAGCGCATACAGCCCCCCCCGCACGATCTGGGGGACCCCTCCTGCTCGGTGCACGCAGTCCGCAAGGAGCTCAGCAGTCATGCCCTCTTCGACGCCCAACAGCTTGCCTCTGGCATCCTCCTTGCCACGCGTCTCCTTTCGTAAAGTCCCAGCATCGGAAGTTCTTGCATATCGCAACGATGGCACACACCTGAGCGGTGCCGTTGCGCCTAATGAGAGCGCTTCCACCTCCATTGCCACGCCGTCTGCCATGGCGCATGTGTCCGTGATGGATGCGCACTACATCGCCTACGGCTACAACGACGGCACCTCCTTTGAGAAGCCGGAGCACTACCTGCGACACGTCGAGCCTCTGGAGATGGAAAGGAATAGACAGGTCGAGTACGATATGGACGAGCAGGACAAGGAGTGGTTGGATGCTCTGAATCAGGATAGACGCAAGGATCAGTTGGATCAGATCTCCTACGAGTCGTTCGAGATCATCATTGATAGATTCGAAAAGGAATGGTTCGACCTGATCAAACGCGTGCCTTCCCATCGGCGGGATGGTCGAGAAGGGGCAGCGGATGGTAAGGATGAAGGATCTGATGGGGAGGATACAGAGTGCGCTATTTGCTCGGACGCAGAGTGCGAGAACAGCAACGCCATCGTCTTTTGCGACGGCTGCAACCTGGCAGTCCATCAAGATTGCTACGGCATTCCTTATATCCCCGAAGGCCAGTGGTTGTGCAGGAAATGCACCGTCTCGCCCGATAGAGCAGTGTCCTGCGTGCTATGCCCGAACGAGGGCGGCGCTTTCAAACAGACAACTCAGGGAAAATGGGCGCATTTGCTTTGTGCGGTTTGGATTCCCGAGACGGGCGTCAGCAATCCGGTGTACATGGAGCCGATCGACTCGGTAGAGCGCATCCCAAAGGCGAGATGGAAGCTGGTGAGTTTGTAAACCCGCGTGAATGGATCGTCGTCACGTGCTGAGGCTGCGTGCTCTACTCGCCCCACTCGTATACCTAGCAATGCTACCTATGCCAACACCGAACAGGCGCGTGCATTCAGTGCGACAACAAGCATTGCTTCACGGCATTTCACGTCACATGCGCGCGCAAAGCTCAATTGCTGGTCCGATCGCAGAGGCAAAGAGCCACGCACCACTCTCACAATGGAGCAGCAGGAGCTGGATCCGATTCGGAAGAGGAAGAATCAAATGAGGTCTTGAAGGCTTATTGCCACAAGCATTTGCCGGGAAAGATTAGGCTGGCCAAGGCTAGCGAGGCCAGAATCAAGGAGATTGCTGCGAGCGAGCCGGAGGGGTTGACGTCTGCTGCGCGAGCGCAAGGCTTGTCCAGCGCCTTGGAAGCGCCTGATCAGACAAAGAAGAGAAGCATCAAGCTCGTCGTTCGATCGGGCGCAGATGGTTCTCGTCCAGCCGGTGGTGCTGGCGCATCGACCTTGTCCAAAGAAGCTCGCGCATACAAAAAGACCTACCGATCGGGTCCTCCGCTAGTCCCAGCTTACATCGTTACGCGCGTGATGGAGTACATTTCAAAGATTTCGTTGAGGAAAAAGCTAGAGTTGGTACAAAGGATAGCTAGGTTTTGGAGCTTGAAGAGGGAAGCTAGAAGAGGTGCTCCGCTGCTCAAACGATTGCACTTGGAGCCTTGGACGGCTAGCAAGGATGGAAAAGAGCAAACGGATGCGCAGCGCGTCAAAAAGCTCGAGGTGAGTCGTTGCTTCCTGAAAACGCTGTGGCACTGGCCGGCAGCGCCGCGGCAGTCGTCTTGATATCTCAGCAAGCTGATCCCATGTCTCGACAAATGCTCCATCACAGTTCCTCTTTCGACTTCGCGAAGATCTGGAGAAGATCAGAATGCTCGCTGAGCTGGTCAGAAAGAGGGAAAAGGAAAAGTTGAGAGGCGTGCAGCTCTTGAGAGATTCTTTGGTTAATGGTGTTCTCCTGCCCTACCTCGGTGTCCTTCGAAAGATACTAGAGAGGGTTTCAAGGTGAGTCAGATGGGGGCGAGACCTTGATGCAGATGCAGAAACGCAGTCATGCTTACCATTGCTTTTTGCAACCTCTACTTCAGCCTTGATCGAGCAGGCTTCTTCAGCAGACCAGTCTCTGCCATCGACGTGCCTGACTATCACACGGTGATCAAAAGCCCAATGGATTGGTCCACCATCTCTCAAAAGCTGGAAGCACTTCACTACGCCACTGCGCTCGAGTTCAAGCAGGACATTCTGCTCGTGCTCAATAATGCCATGCACTACAACAAGCCGGAAACGGCTTTTCATCGCTCTGCACTGCGTATACTCAAGGCGTGCCAGGATGAGAAGGGTGGAATCTTTTTGGAATTGGATCGACTAGCAAAGGTGCACTCAGACGTGGAGGCGGGCGTGCCAGAAGGCGAAGGTCTAGATTTGGAGCCGGAAGAGAGCCTCATCGATCTGCTGGGAAGTTACAACGATGAGGACATCTTCGACGCCATCGAGCAGCACGGGGACAATGGTCAAGCGCCTGCGAATGTCGTCGAAGATCTGACGCGTCACTACTACCGTGTTGAAGCGACGAGCTTGCCAGCTCAGCGGTCTGTCAAAGCGAACAAGAGACTGGCACGAATCGAGCGGGGCAAACGAGCAGCCGAGACGCGCCGAAACGCGCGGGAACAACTGGCGATGACCACGGGCGCCGACGCCAGCGTATCGCACGAGAAAAGAGATGCGAATCGGGATCAGCAGCTACAACTGCAGGAAGAGAAAGAAGCGCACATCAAGGCAAGAAGGCATGCTGCGGCGGTCATCGCCTCTCGAGCTGCCGTTGTGGCGAGACAGAAAAAAAAGGCGGAAGCGGATGCAGCTGCGGCAGCTGCTGCTTCGAAGCGGGCAAGTGCTTCTGCATCTGCCTCGGTCGGCACTGACCTCAAACGCTCCCACTCTGCTTCCATCTCCTCCAAGACGCTCGTCGGATCGGATGGCCAAGCTCCACCTTCATTCGGAAAAGTGGTGCAGGATAGACACACGCCGGAGACGCACGAGGTACAAGAAATGGACGATTGGGACTCCTTCAAGCTCTTCAACTCGGGCTGGGTTTTACCGGACGGAGCTAGACGCGTCAGACATCCGCCGCCTGCTGTGACCGAGCCATTGGCCAAGCGTGAGTGCTGTCAAGAGCTCCTTGCGGCGACATTGCGCTTGGCGCTGATAGTGTGCGCTTCGCGCTCGTTGATCGTTCCATGCTGCAGGTGCGCGCACTGGTACGCTCTCTACGGAACCTGTTCCGAGCTTGGCGGGCGATGATGCTGCGGAGCGGTCGGGCGCGTCTGCAAAGGCTACGCAGAAGCGGCGATCTCGATCGCGCACAGAAGAAAAGGTGTCAAAGAGGGGTAGCAAGACGCGCTTGCGGAACATGGACACCTCCGTATCTTCTACTGGCACGGTGCGTACCCATTTCAGAGGTAGCCATGGACAGTTTATCAAAGCTACGGAAGATCCCAACAAGCCCAGAAAGGCAAAGACGAGAGATGCGACGG